TTACAAAACTTAAGAAAGTCTTTGTTTGAAATACTTTTGATATGAGTTATGTCAAATATAAAACCAAATTGTCCAAAATATCCATTAAGTGCTTTGAATTAACTGTCGGTATCAGTTATGATAATATCTATCATTGTGGCAAAGAAGTTCACTTCATACTGCATTTCAACGGATTGTATGAGTTCATTAATATGTTCATAACTAAACAATCGCTTTTTCTTTGCTATTATTTTTTCCACTTTGCTTAATAAGTTACAATTGAGATTTAATAAATTAGACAAGATTAATTTATTTATTAAAAATACTTCTGAAAACAATAACGTCCCTAAAAGTATAAATTTTATGTAGAATTGAATGGTAACTTTTTAATTCAGAAATAAAAAATAAACATTTTTCTGTAATTTTTTATGTAAAGTTGATTTAATATTGTTATTGTGCGTATGAGTGACGTTTAAGATACTTTTATTTACTTTTTAAGTAGAAATTATTGGTTAAACCGAATTAAAAATAATAAGTAAAATTATTTCTATGTTCCTCCTTTTTTATATTGAAAAGTCGTGTGTTTGTGTTTGGTGTGAGGTGAAAAATAAATTAATAAAAAATACTTACAAAGACAATACTGTCTAGAAATTTTTAGGTTTTATGTAGAATATTCGTATAAATCGAAATCAAAAATAGTATATAAGAATTCTTGTAGTATATTCTTTGAAAATTCATTAATTAGAAATATAATACGCATGTGCTTGATGTGTTTTGCGGGAGAAAAAAAATTTAATAAATTTTACAAAATAAGAATCGACTCAGTGAAAAAGTAAATCAAGGACAGAGCCCCAAAATTATTCAAATAAGTTGACACGTTGCCCAACCCCGCTCTAACAAACCTAAAGTCCACCTCAGGACGCACAGGAAGATATGCTGATCTACGGTTCGTCATCAGTTAGAAAATAAATAAATGATAATGATTCTTGTGTAGGTAAAGTTTAGTTTGGGGCAGGGATAAGCCCCCCAGCCACAATAGAGTAAAAGTGCGCAATAGCACTAACTTAAATCACAACAACAACAACAAAATAATGTCATCCTGAAAATTTTTATTTTCTAATAAAATTTAATACTGAATCTAAATAAAATAAAAAAATTTTTGGATCCATTTGGAAAAATGTTTCCTTTTGGAATTTAACGGTTAATATTACTACTTAAATAAAAACAATATTGATTGTTTAAACTATGTCTTAAAAGTTCAATCAATTATCTTTAAAACGCAGTAAATTTCAAGTTTCCATCGTTAATGGAGCCAGATATATGGACGTTTAAAAATGTGTATACAATGCCAATTTCCAAAACCCCATAGGTCCATTTCTCTTAGGAAAATATTTCATAATTTTTTACCAGGATACGGATTTTCTTATTTGATAAAAAAAAACTCAAAAAAAATTTTAGCCAAATCGGAGATCATGATTTTTTGCCAAAATTCTTCCTATTTGTAAAAGAATGACCTATATACTTAGTTCATAAGCTAATTATATACTCGAACAATACCGTTTAAATGACAATTTCTTATATCGAACTTTTTTCAGTTCATTTTGCGCATGATCAAAATGTCAACTAACGAAATTGTTGCATCTCGGACAATAAAAATGCACAAAAAAGTCAAATGGTCAATACATCCACAAAAAATCACTGTATGCAATGGAATTTTATCTAGGTACTTAGTAATTTGAAAATGATGAAGGTGTGATCGCCGATTTGTTTTGCCCCATAATTATCGTAAAGAATATGGACACTATATGGCTTCAATAAAATGATGTGACTTGTGACTAGGACACACACCAAGTCCTAATTTACATTTGTTACTCGAGAAATTTCATGTGAAACAATGTTGACATAGGAATTACGTAAAGGATCCTACTAATGCGAACAATTTTCAAACTCTCAACGATTTTAACACAAAAATCAAAAAATTATGACCAAACTAAGTTTTTACTCAGTTGTGTGCCGATAAAACATAAACGTAAACTACCTCAGATAAAGACATTTGTATGTAGTGTAAGACATTTGTATGCTGTATTTTGCATCTACCGGCAAGTTTGAAATAATAAACTAAAACAAAAATCTAAGAGTACGAATTATTCACGTAAGCGTTAGAAACCACAATAGAAACAAACCTGTATTTATAAAATTATTAATTTATTACAGTTTTATCATTAACTAAACTCAGATTAAATTTGTCATTAATATACCATAACGTTCTGGGGTTCTAATTTTTAACCAAATTATATTAACAGTTTCTGCAAAAACATAAATCTTAAAACATATAAATTTCTTGTAGATGTTGCACTCCCATAACAATTTACTTTGTAATTGTGCTATGCATTCATTGTATTTTAATTTAAATCAATAAAAATTGAAATAAGCTAACACAGCAGAAATTGTGCATTGGGTTCGAATAAATTTAATAATGTATGTTAATAAACTCCTTTCAATAGAAGTTATCATATAAATAGCATTAGACCGTTCATGACTACCATTATTATCAATTTCACTTTATCTTTATATAATAATTTCAATTAAATTTAATCAATTTTAAACGATCTATAAATAGCCAAATATTCTATTCATTTTCAAAATCTCCCAAAACAAATTAAATTAAAATAGTAGGGGATGTGCACATAAATTTTACTGTGGTTGCAATTCAGCTATGTTAAAATATCAAACATGAGGATTACCACATGTGTTGGGAACATTATCAGTGAATTTTACAATCATTATAAATTAATGGTCACGTATTTTAAATTACCAGTAATGATGTGAAATGACTGACGACCAGAAAAAGGCTATAGAGAAAGTCTAATTATTAAAAATGTAGACTTAAATGATGTGTTTAAATGTATTTCAATGTAATACATTTTATATAAATACACTGATTATGTTCAATATTGCATAACGAACTCTCAAGATCACATTTTTGAAAGAATAACATCTTGTAGCAATAAAACTGGACTAAGTTTTAAACCCAATTAACAATATGTCAATGAAATTTAATTGGGAAAAATAACCTTTAGCCCAATAAATACTAGCACAAAACGCCACACCTACTGTATGCATTCAAGCAAATGTATGCAAAGGTGGCATTTACCCTTCCAATACATAAAGTAAAAAGTAACGCCTTCTCATTCAAGTACAGTGCTATACCATTTTCTTGGGTAATATTAATATTAAACCTAATCTTAGGAGCTATAAAAATGTACAAAAGCAATTGCTTCTAAAATAATTTGTTTAACCAGTTAAAAACTTGAAATTTGTGGTATGATACCACAGTGAGTTTTGTAAGCATTATATGTTAAAAAGATAATATATAACATAATAACTCTCTTAGGCGAGATATGTATGCAAATGTGTTCATATGCGCATTTACTAAGTGACTATATTGGCTCTGAGGATAATGAATTAATGAAAATGATTTAAATAATTTACTAAATAAAAAACCGCTTTAATAATTCAATAATATCAAAAAGGTGTTGACTTTGGGTTATACATATGTATCAGTATATATGTTACACTATTAAATAATAATTTCCTTTAATGTCGATATCAATGTCTCTGATTATTTTTATTTAATTTAATTTCTGTTCTTAACTCTTTATAAAATCATTTGCGCATATACTGAGTATATTATATTAGAAACAATTTATTTTACTATTTTAAACAAATTAATACATACACAAAATAGTCTTAAATTTCTATGTAAATATGTATTAAGAATCTATACTATGTCTACACTTATTAGTGATTTAAAAGTAAATTAAACTTCAACTCCAATAATTCTTGAAAATAGAGCAAGATTTGCAATTCTTTGTGTTGTTAAAAATTTACTTGCACTTCGACCACAAACTACTTGTAAACCAAAAATAAGTTGACAATAGTTTTTTCAAACATGAAAAATTAATATAGATTGTAATTTTTATTCACACTAGTGGGGAATAAATGGCGTTCTAGCAAATAATTAAAGAACCCAGTACGTATAAATTGGAGTGTTCTATTAGTCGGATCTTTAACACTAATTGCCAATTTTTTTAATTAAACCTTAAACTAAAGCTTTATATTATTTTAGCACGCCAAACGATGATGAAATACCATAAATAGTATGTTTAAGGTATATGTATACAGTAAATAAAATTTTTCGGTTTTATGTTAGATATCTTAATTCTATTTAACAAGAGGAAGATAAAGTTTGAGTTGCGACTAATTTCAATCAGATGACGGATCTTCGGGATAAAGATAAAAAAGATTAAAATAATATTAAGTATTATAGTTGAAAATGACGGCCTTATTAGTATAAAGGTGCAACAAATTTCTGCACAACTCCTTATTGCATTACACCATAGGCAATGCCCCATCATGTCCAGTATTTACTAACGGTACAAAGTTACGATTTTTTGATTTAAAACCCTCAAAAGTATATTTTGAAGCATGTTTTATACAAATACTTGTCACACATTTTTATTTAAAAAGGATTATTCCAACATTTTTGATTTACATAAAAACGATTCTCTTCATTCGTTGTTTTTTTCATGTAAATATTGTTATTATAAAATATATGTTACTTTGAACATTCATATAAAATTGTGACAAAATTTTAAGTTTTATTATTTACTCTTACTTTACATAGATTTAGGCTGCATATATATGTAGTTATTGAAAAAAAAATGTATTCCATAATTCTATCATTTGACAGTATATTTTACCATATGGATAAGGTTAGGCGTTTCTGTTTGGATAGAATTAACCAATCAAAAATATGCACATTGTTTGGGTTCCTTGGTGTATGTCATTTTCGTGTGAAAGAACAAATACAATAAAACAACCCTATTTTCCAGTTAGACCAGTTGTAATAGTTTTGATGTCTTTGGTTGGCAGGAAAGGTTCATGCATTCAGACAGCATTTTGCAGTCTGTGTTAGCAGACGTGTTTATTTGTTTGCAAATCGCACTTAAATTACATTTCAAAATTTAATCACAGTGTGAATTTGGAAAAATGGTAAATATTTTAAATATTTTATACGTTGTCTTTAAAAAATTTTAAACCATTTTTAAGGTAATGAAAAACTTTGGCTTAAAACATTCAAAAATAGATTTCGATATCAATGATAATGTTATGCCGACAGTTAATGACTTTGAAGATTTTAATGAATGGGCAGATGGCAACTGTTATTTTATTTACTCTGCTGCTCAGGAAGATGCCAAGAAACATTCATCAGGTTGGGCCATGCGTAATACAAATAATCACAACATAAGTATACTTAAAAAAAGTTGCCTCGGGGTGCTAGTTTGTTCACTAGGCTGTACCTCATCGAATGGATCTAAAATAAATGTACGCCCTGCAATTTGTGATAAAGCCCGAAGAAAACAAATCGGAAAACAATGCCTCAATAGGTTTGTAGTTAATTTAAATAAAATATATGGCTATTTTAGTATTGAATGTATTTTACTTATGAAGAAATTGCGATGGACAACTTGTAATTCAACCTTGTCGTGGTCATTGTGGTTATCCAGTAACTCATTTTTGGAGAAGATCAGGCAATGCTATTTTTTTTCAAGCGAAAGGTAAGCATGACCATCCACGACCAGAAGTAAAGGGAACAAAGCAAACATGTAGATTTTTAAGTTCGCAGAAGCGAGTACGTAGTCTTTCAACAATGTTTGCTAAAAATACTCGATTAAATGCTAAGTTATCAATTCAGCAACCAAAGAAAGTTCAGCCACTAAAATCAGTAAAAAATGATGGATGTATAAATAATCAAAAACAACCCCAGCAAAAAGGTGATTACACAAGAAATATAAATTTAGCATTGTCCGTACAAGGTAGTATCGACACGTACATTTCAAATTGGGATGACAATGTATACTACGGCATGCAGACCATAGAACGTCCAAGTTCTTCTTACAACACTGTCAGTAGGTTTAGTAACGTAGACTCGGCAGATAACTTTCACTTACAAAATGCTCAAAAATACAATATTTTGAAAACTGTTATGACTCCAGAATTAGCAATGCCGCATACACCACATGACTTATCAAGAACGTCGATAAATAGTGACTACTTCAATGCCCATCAAAGTTTTAGCCACAATAATTGTTCTCAAGTGTTATTACAATCAAAACCGGAGAATGAGAAAAATAATTGGATATATGAGAGTTGCGATGATACCTCTAGCTTAACAAGCAGTTCGGGTTATAATTCTGATGATTACACCCATCCTTTTTCTACGTTTACATCTTCATCTAATGTGCCTTGTATCAAAACAACACAGGCAAATAATCGAAATAGTGACATTTTATTTAATTCAGAAGTATGCTACAACTCTTTACAAACTTCTGCGGACATTTATAACAAGAATATTCTATCATCTACAAAATCATATATCAATGAGTTGCAAGCAGTTTACTTTGATAATAATTACGTAAGTCCAGACTGTCTGCAATACACACAAGCAGATCATTATCAATCGATAAGTGCTGGAAGCAGTGTTTCAGACTTTTTTTATAGTAACTCCGAAAGTGATAATGGCGCTTGGAATATTCAAATAAACTCGGCTAGCAACCTTTCACATTTAGAAGCCATCTCATTACCAATTAATCAAATGTCGGCGGATGCAGGTATATTTTAAAAGTTTTGTACTCAAAACCTTTTAGTTTTTTTTATAAATTAGAATTTGATGAGTTTATTGTGTTTTATTCATGACACAACAATATATTCATCAAATACAACACTTTTATTTAAAATACATGTTTTATTACATTTATATTTTTTAATTGATGTTGTCAAATAAAAATATATTAAACATTTCTGGGCAATAAAATGGTATTAGAAAATAAATATAAATACAAATAAAACACTTAATGGAAGTAATTTGCTTTTTTATATACTCAAAACAAATCGAAGCGAATATATTTATATTTTAAAAACTTGTACATATTTGTTATTTAAGAAACTGTAATTTCGACGTGTGTCATCTAATGGCAGTTTCAAAAAAACATAAGGCAAACACAAACAATGGATCATTGTTACAAATATCAAAACATATATCATCCTGATAGAAAACTATGAGAGGAATAGTAATCGTAGATAGATGATATATTTTTAAAATTATGCACTACATAAACATTTAACGAAGTATTTATACGGCACATCATAACAACAAGCGCAATTTATTAAAAGTTAGCTATAAAATTTATTAATTGTAGATTAAATGGAATTTTATGGACAAGTCTTCAATACGTTGTGATTTGGGATCGTTGCTACGATATAAGAGTCCTTGATTCAATAGCCTGTTTTATTTTAATCAATTTTTTTTTATGAGAATTTAAATATTTTTTATTTTATGGCCAAATGATTTTTAATGACTACTTTTGTAGGCTAATTGGACAATTTTAAAAAAAAAACCACAATTTATTTTACAATAATTTTTATTTCATCGATATTTCGACTTTAGTCTAAAGTCATCAATAGAAAACCAAATATTGTTTTAACATACCAATCAATATATTGAATACATCATGGTGGACAAAACCATATACTATGTATAAATACATACATACATATTTTTATGACTTAATACAAAATTCGTTAATCCTACACCCGTTTATTGATGCATAACACTTATAGCCTTGTGATGGGTTTAAAAATGGAAAATGAAAATTTCACCCAGAGTTCACACATATCAAAATATTGTAATTGAGTGTTAGAAATTAGTAGGTTCCAAATGAATCCTCTTGCTTCATTTACTTCTTTCTTGCTTGTATTTGCTATCTTAACATCTGCGTTTATCATACCTCAATTAGGGGGAGGGTTATAGATGGTGATTGGGAATAGCAGCTGGTTTCTCAGTGTCATATATAGGCAGAGGTTGAGACAACTGGTATGACTATACATGAATTAACAGATAGCGCAGTGGTATCCATATAAACGATATCTGCACAAAGGTGGAAGGCAACGAATAATCATCACTATTATTTTCTATTCTATTGTTAGCAAATTTGACGTAGGCGATGTTATCGAGTTTGCAATCAAAGGACATGTCTATTGAGGAAATATATATGACAATTAAAGACACAGTAATGGAAGCAGCAAACAATGAAGTGCGAGTGGTCAGATATAGAAGGAAAGAAGTTCGGAAGACGAATGAAATCCTGCAATTAATCGATGAAAGAAGTCGGTACAAAAATAAAGATACTCGCAAACGTAAGGATATACCTAGATCTATACGTCTTCTTATTCAGTGACGATTGGTCTAAGGTGCGGTGAACACCCTAACATAATTTGCAAAATGTCAAATAACATAGGTATATAAATTTATTAAGTATCTTCACATCAACAATTATAAATATTTATTACATTTCCATATATATATTTTTAAAGTTTTAGCAAAAACAATTAAATATAATTGTCTATGAAAACTCAATTAATTTGCTTCTGTTAGCCGCTATACTTGTTAGTTGTGCTCATATATTTGCAGCTCAAATCACAGAACATTTCTATTATATTTCGTCTCTCCCCTTTGTGTGCAAAGAAGTTGGCCGCACATTCATACGTTACATATGAACAAAATAATGTGCGTGTGCTCCCGTTCGTAATATCAGAAATAGAGATTTATATAGTGGGAATTGTATGAGAGTAATTTTCTGTTCTATTCCGAATATCAACTGCATGCATACGAATCCAACATGATGATTTGCCAAAGTGGTTGCATGAGCGGCTGAAGTTTGCAGCTCATCTCACCATACATTTCTATCACATTTCGTCTCTCCCCTTTTAACAGTAGCACCAACGAATTTCTGTCGCTTACTGTGCGGGGTACTTGTCCGCACATTTGTACGTTGCAATTGGGTTCGATTTTGTTTGATCACTGCATAAACATGTATGTTTCCAAATACAAACTCTTATGTTTGAAAAAATTTGGTTTGATGTTACGAGAATTATGTGAAAAATTTTGTTTCTTCCATATTGATATAATATTAAACTTATATATAAATTATTAATTTAATTTGTTTAATATATTATTTTATTAATGAATTGTTAATATAATATTGCGAATATATTGTTGCCTAATATAATATAGTTATTATTAATAAAACATCTCATATATTTTAATTTAAGTGGTACATGTAAAAACAACATTAAAGAAGGGCCGCACACCCTTCCAGATAGAGCACGCGTCGTCACTGTTCTTATTAGACAAGCAAAAGAAGAGTTTCACAAAAAAAATGTGAGGAGATAAAGGGGAATCAAAGCAGATATGATTTAATTATGATATGATTTCATTTATACCAGAAAAGTAGAACTATGGTGGCATTTAATAGAATAAAAAGATGCACACTTATAGATAAATCCTCTCATAAATCTTTTGTCCTCACAAGTAGAAAACAATTTTGAGCTAAAAGTTTTAAACAACGAAAAAGTAAAAATCCAAGCAAAAACAACTGAGTCTTATGTTACAATAGTAAAGCAACTCGAATCGAAAAAAGCCGAATTTTATACCTACAAGCCTAAAGATGAACGAAATTTTAAAGCTATCTTGAGAAACATGCATTCGTCTGTCAATACCGAGGACATTAAAACAGCTCTGGCGGAAATAGGCCATAAAGCTCTAAACGTGTTCAATACGAAACACAGAGAATCGAAAAAACTACTTCCTCTCTTCATTGTAGAACTTGAGCCTCAACAAAATAACAAGGAGATCTACAGCATAAAGAATTTGATGCATAGTCGAGTCACGTTTGAGCCTCCTCGTCCTAAACGAGACGTTCCTCAGTGTAGTAACTGTCAAGACTACGGCCACACGAAAAGTTATTGTCGAAGACATCCGAGGTGCATCAAATGTGCAAAAAACCATTCTTCGTCTCAATGTTCAATCCAAGGAAGAAGTACTGAAGTCAAATGCGTATTATGCGAAGGAAACCATCCTGCAAATTATAAAGGTTGTTTGATTTATAAGCAGCTACAAACCGCGAAATTTCCAACACTAAAACCTAAACCAACAACAACTACAAACAAAGAAACTGACGAAGAAAAAGACAAAGTTTCTTTCCCAAGGGATCCCAAAAGAAGTTATGCTAGCGTGCTAGTGGAACAATCACCTAAATCTCTTACTATTCCTAAATCTCCAGATACCATGAGCGAAGTTCTAATAGTAGTTAAGCAAATGTTAGAACAAATCACTACGTTAATGAATGTTCTTGTCACGCTGACGACTAAATTATGTCCGACAGTGAATTAAATATAGTGCTCTGGAATGCGAATGGGCTGTCAAAACACTGTTTAGAGCTACAAGAATTTTTAAAAGATCAAAAAGTAGACATCATGCTAATATCTGAAACACGTTTTACTTCAAAACATTATTTTAAAGTACCAGGCTATGACTTTTACCACACTATGCATCCCGATGGAACAGCTCAGGGGGGAAGTGGCATTTTAGTTAAAACAAATATATTACACTTTGAAATGCAACAATACCGCACTGAAGAGATTCAAGCAACCAGCATATCAACAAAAGATTGGTGTGGCTCAATAACAATAACATCAGTATACTGTCCACCAAAACACGCAACTAAGACGGCAACATATAAAAAATTCTTCAGAACCTTAGGTAACAGATTTATTGCGGGGGGAGATTTTAATGCTAAACACGTTGAATGGGGCTCTCGGCTTTCTTCACCCAAAGGACGACAGATGCTTGCGGCTATAAGAAGCGAAAACCTTACAACTATCTCGTCTGGAGAACCAACTTATTGGCCCACGGATCCCAAAAAAATGCCAGACTTGTTAGACTTTTGTGTTATTAAAGGAGTGCGACAAAACAACAATCTAGCTTTGATCTTTCATCAGATCACTCGCCAGTATTATTACGGATAAAATCGAATATACAACTTAAAGTTCAAAAATGTTATTTGCACAACAAATTAACCAACTGGGATGTCTTTAGGCATACACTTAAGGCATTACTTGATGAAAAAATGGCGCTTAAAACAGAAGAAGAAATTGCGCTTGCAACCGAACATCTTATAAGGAGTATTCAACAATCAGCCTGGAGATCCACACCTTCACACATGCAACAATTCGCCACACCATTATGTAGTACGACTCAAGAACATATAAGAGCCAAAAGAGCAGCGAGAAGGCGCTGGCAACAAACCAAATCTCCGAAAGATAAAAAACTTTTTAATGTGCTGATCAAAAATCTAAAAGAACATCTGAAAACAACCAGAAATTTGGAAATACAAAGAAATCTCCAAAGACTAGATGCAACTAATTCCACCAACTACTCTCTCTGGCGAGCAATCAAGAAACAGACATCAACGCACAATGCACCAGTAAAAAACGAACTTGGGCAATGGGCCCGAACAGATACAGAAAAATGCAAAGTATTTACGGACCATCTGTCTTCAGTTTTTATTCGAAACATTAATGAAGCCCCAAATAGTATAACTGAAGAGATTAGAGAAATATTACCTCTCTATAATAACTGTAAACGCACCAACTGGACCTTCCAATACAAAAATTCTCCATTTTCGACATAAAATTCGAAATCAAAAAACTAAAAATAAATAAAGCACCCGGCTATGACCTAATTACTTCAAAAATATTAAAGGAGTTACCGGATGAAGCAATAGTACTGCTGCGAAACATTTTTAACTCTATTGTCACAAAAGGCTTTATCCCTCCCCAATTCAAGGTGGCTCAAATTACCATGATAGTCAAACCTGGGAAAACGGCAAAAGATGTTAAGTCATATAGACCAATTAG